TCTTTCGATCCCATCCACCCCCATCCCCAAAAGGGGTGGGGGCCATCATCTAGACCTTTAATGTTATGTTGATATCTTACTAATTTTATTGTACTAGTAAATTACGCGCACTCAATACCTTGCAATACTGTTCTTTTTAAAGTGTTTCAAATTAAACAAATTTGATTTTTTAAAGATAAACGAAAAATTACATGTATTAACTTACATCTTCTACATGCTTATAAAATATTTACTTAAAATGATTCGAAAAACGATATATTTTAAAGCTAAGGTAAAAACATCATCATCATCATAAGCTTGTCAGTCCTAAGACTGGTTGGACACGTACCTCCACTCTTTCTTATCCTGAGCTAATCTTCGCATTACCCCAAAACTGGAACAACCCACATCCTTAAATATTTGCGAACAGTAATCTAATCTACTCCCCTTGACTCCTGTTTCTGTCTCTAATATATTTATAAAAAAGTTGAACCTATATGAACCACTTTGACATTTAATAGGGGTTGATATCAAATATCAATGTCAAAATGTATTTTAATTTTTTCCCCCTATAAACTACCTCAGGTTAATTAGGGAAAATTTGTTGTTGTTGTCACATCCTCGCCGCAAGCAAAATGAATTTACACATTGAGAAGTTGTTCCTATTTAGCATTGGCACAGTTGGTTTTATATTTGAAAATAACAAAAATTTTTACAGTAATAATACTTTATCAGATAAAATATCACCAAATTGAATGTGAACCATTTTGCAAAAATTATTTTTAATTAAAGTAATTTACTTGGTATGTAATATTGTCTGTCAAAATTATCCTTTTTATCCCTAATAACTTTTCATAACTCCTTTTAAACTTTCTCATTCTGAACCTTGTATATATACTAATTGGAACCGTTTCTTTTCTCCTATTAATACTTTTATTATCAAATCTGTTAAATAATCTTCTAACTGCTAATAATCACAATGATGGCAGAACATTTTCTGCTCTTTGGGATTATCATAACTTGTTATTGTTCATATTCGCTAGAGTAAGTTCCTCATAAAGGAGATTTATAGAGTGAAAGGTCTCATTCTTATTAGCTTTTGTAACATCAGATTTGTCTTAGAAAGTTAAATGTGGAAATGTGCATCTTATTATTGAATCGCATTGTAATAAAACGAATAATTTCACGCTCGTTTTCCCGAACGAGGGCATTCAATCTTGGCGTTTTATGCGTCAGACGTAAATTTACATCTTGATCGAGATAATGGTCGTTTTTATTCCGTGCCTTTTTATTCGCAATTCGACGTTAGTTATCTGATCCCTTATCTCTTATTCATCTTCATCAGTCTATAATGGCTTACTTCTTCATTGTTCGACCACTCGAAAAAATGTTTCTCGTTATGATGAACGGCTTCAAGGACCGTTTTGGCTCTTTGCGATGTGCAAAACAGGATACGGCTTAAGGATCACAGTGAAAGACCTTTTTACGTGATGTATGCAGAAAATGGGATTGAATTGGAGATATTCAAATTGTTTTCTAAATTCACAGCGTTTTTGTTTTCGTATATTTTAAGACCTAAGAAAATTTCTTCAGTTCGTTAACGGGATATTGCAGGTATACTTTATAATGTTGGGGATTTTCGCAGTGACGGCTTGAGGTGGTTCACATAGGGAGTGCATAATTTCAAAAATAGTAAGTGCACTTAACTGTATATTTCAATGCAATTTTTTTAATTTACTTCAACACTAAAACAACAACGGGGTTTATTTTGCAAGGGTGCGCAATTTGTCACTAATACCGCTGCAGGTCGTAAGAAAAGCAAAACATTTGCTCAGTTGTCAGGTATACTTAGTTTAGTTTCTGTAGCGATTTGACCTTCAGTTTGACCGGCGCAAAGTAGAAAAGAACAGCACTAGGCCAGAAAAGAAAGGAGACAACTCTCGGCCAAACTCTTAACCGGTGAGGAGCGTATAATCCGTACAGTACTGCACGGAAAAATTAACCATTTTATCCGCTACAATTGCATTGCTCAAATGTGCTTGTTATTGGTACCAATTAATACTACTGAAAATATTAACGAGATGTTTATTTATATTTGAAGATGAACAAGAGTCGAGAGTATAATGAGGTTTTTTCTCCCTACCTACGATTTTGCCAGCGCGCATCCACATTGGAAGAGGCACATCGCTAGAGAAAGTATATTAAGTATATTATGTGGCATTGAAGGTAGTTGAAACACACCTATTTAATTTTAACGGATCAATGATCTGTCTTTACTTTTCCCAATTGTGTCTGGCCGACCGCAAGACTTGCAAACGACGAAACTAAATTTCACAGTTAGTCGCCGCTTGGTTTTGTTCAATAATTCAAGAGTACCTATGCAATTGTTCAGTTGTTCTCAGTAAAGGGCCGCCACTGGTGTTTCGTGTACTAAATATTTCGAGCGGTAAGGGAGAATTCATATGCATCGTTATGTTTTTAGAGGTAGATATCTATCATTAGGGAGGAGCACTGTTCTCGTTTCGCTCATTAAAAAGTTTCATCGGCGTCCAGGTTATCTCCAAACAGATTACAAAAAGATGTAATGGCAAAGGTGCAGTATGTTCTCGGTTTTGTACCACGTATACATTGGAACGGGCGTACGTACACCTACGTAAAATGATGAAAGGCCCCGAAAGTAACCCGACACTGGCGCAGTTACCAGCCCGACCCAGGCCGCACTAACGACGATTTCTCACTCCCATATTCCTTCCATTGTCCAGGTTAATTTGGCCGCTTCGTCCTGGCGCACAATCGGCCTTTCACTGTGCAAGGTGCACTCTTCATTTGCCGCCTAAAGTGCTACGCTTTTTGTCCCGTAATGCACCGCGTTGGAAACAAAAAGTGCTATTACTTAAATGAAACTCTGAAAAACGATTTTATTTTACACTCGCATTACGACGTAATAAAAACATAAATGTTTCCCGTTTCTTAGTCTAAAAAAAAGGTAGCGCTTGAAAAAAGATATTACTAAAAGTTTACACTTATCGTTAGTTGCTTTTTATTTGACTCCTGAGTGTGTTGTATGAGAGGACGTGAAATTTTATCAAATTTGAACGTCTTTAAGACTAGGAACTACACTACATTGACACGATGCAATATTTTAATAAGTAATGAGTATTGATCTCATGAGTACCTAAGAGTATTGTAGCTAGGCATAAAGAAAATCGTAAAATAGTATCGACAAATTTTTGAATAACTGCAGGAGAACGTTCACTATAGTAACTTTGGATGCTTCATTCCCACCAGGCTACTAATGCTGACGCCGGAGGGTAGGGTAGAAGACCCTCTTTAGCATCCTTTTTAGTGGGAATCGATGGTGGTGGTGGTGGTGGTTGAGGTAAGAAAGATAAGGCGGATGAAATGAAGACTGAAGAGGGTGAAATATTATCTATAGAATATTCCTGCTCCAGTATATGCCTATGTGATCTAAGGAAACTATAGAAAAACTTGGACCAGAACAGACAAACCCGAAATCGAATCAGTGTCCTCCTGAATTCCAAGCAATGATCTAAACCTCTAAACCATCAGGAGAACGTTGCATAGATGCTCCCTGTATCTTCTTTCTGCTTCTCGAAACTGCGCAGTTCGCATGCTCGTCTAGCTGCAGAAGAATACCATCAAGGGCCTTTCGATAGTTCCTCTATTCCTATATATATCTGTGGTACAAAATCGCGTAAAGACCGAGCGGCATGTCCTAGAGGTCTAGACCATTGCTTAGCATTCGGGAGGACGCCGGTTCGATTCCGGGTCCGTCTGCCGTGGTCCAAGTTTTTCTATGGTTTCCTTGGACCACTTAGGCAAATGCTGAGGCAGTAATATTCCACAGATAATCTTTCATTCTCTTCTGTCTTCATTTCGTCCGTCTCATCTTTCTCACCCGAACCACCACCCACCCATTCCCACGATTCCTGAAAGCAGGCTGAAGAGGGCCTTCCGCCCTACCTTCCGGCATAGTCCGGAGGGACTGCCCGCCCACCAGTTGGTGGGAATGAAACACCCAAAAGTTTTTTTTGTAATCGCGTAAAGATCCTGACCAAATCCATTTTCTCCATTTGATAGCAAACGAGCAGAGTAATTTGGTAGTTCCGACTCAGTTCGTTCCGGCCGTTTTGTAACTCTTTCTGTAGGTACTTAATCTTGCCACCTGAAATGCACCGACGAATTACCTACGATCTCTTTGCGAAAAAGTGCTATTACTTAAATGGGTCTCTTAAACGTCGTAGAACGATATTATTTTGCGGCTGCATCCTCCTTCTCTGATGGGGTGTATTATGTAGTGGCAGTGACAAAGCTCTCGCCTTGAGTTACCCCAGCGAGCGTAAGGCTGTGATGGATGACGCCGCTTTACCAGGTGCTTCACGGTGATGTCCCACTGTTGATAGTTGTTCGCAGGAGCACAAAGAAAACGGGGTTCTTTCTATGCGGGAAAACATCAGGGGTGGCTGAGAGAGCAAGTGCACTATAGAGAATGAAAGAATAGTCTTCAGCTAAATGAAATGGAAAGGGTTGCTTGACGATTGCGTATTTTTAAAATTGCTACGTAGACGAAATTTGGGAGAGTTCATCTTTCTTGTTTTTTCTTTTACTTGTTACGTACACCAGAGTAGTAGCGAAATCGTAATGCTTTTTGTCTCCAACAACGTTTGATATTTGACAGATAATTTTCTTTTGTTTGACTTTTGTTTTCTCTGCTCACCTTTTGACTAAAATTTGATTGGATTTGTATTGTTAATGTTAAGATATGACTTATGGAACTTCTTTACATTTTTTTTTTTTTAATTGAGAGTTCAAGGAGATTGGAGCGACAATAAGGTCCTCCGGCATGTGGATAAGCGTAGTTACGGCGTGTAAGATCGTCAACGTCGTAATAAGTAAAGTCGGAAAAACTCGACTCTGATCAGATGCAATGCGCATCAATAACATAACCTCAATTATAATTGCGTGGAAGGTATGAGCGTCATTATTAACGAGAAGTTGTGGTCGGTGGTTCGTTTTGCAGTTCGTGTCCGGTTTGACGCGCAGGTAAGGAGATTTTGCTTACATTTTGTATTTGACATGATTTGGCAATTATTGATAATACTAAAATTAATGAGCAGTCGCTCTGTAGAGGAAAAATGAGCCATTTTTTTTCTACTGACTGCTAAAGCTGTCTGCCCGGCTATCCGCTACTCGACAAAATCACTATCCGATGTATTTCTAGAAACACTAAAACAACAACGGGGTTTATTTTGCAAGGGTGCGCAATTTGTCACTAATACCGCTGCAGGTCGTAAGAAAAGCAAAACATTTGCTCAGTTGTCAGGTATACTTAGTTTAGTTTCTGTAGCGATTTGACCTTCAGTTTGACCGGCGCAAAGTAGAAAAGAACAGCACTAGGCCAGAAAAGAAAGGAGACAACTCTCGGCCAAACTCTTAACCGGTGAGGAGCGTATAATCCGTACAGTACTGCACGGAAAAATTGACCATTTTATCCACTACAATTGCATTGCTCAAATGTGCTGTTATTGGTAC